CGTGTGTGTGTGTGTGTGTGTGTGTGTGTGTGTGTATATATATATATATATGCATGTATATATATTTATATATATATATATTAATCAAGTACTCAAGAACTAGGTATTGTTACGCCTCAACTATGATACAATAAGACATACCAAGAGAGTTGTATGTCTCCTCCAAGTCTTTGGTGCTGATGAAACCATCGTGATCGTAGTCAATCAGGTTAAAAGCCTCCTTGAACTCAGCAATCTGCTCCTGGTCAAACATCGCGAAGATATTCGAGGAGGCACGTTGTTGACGTTTTTTTTTTGTTTTGCGTGAAGCCTGGGTGGGTAGATATATTTACATTAGTATAGATTGCACAACGCATTATCTCTTAAGTGTTTCTTTTGCACCGAGCTGAAAGGTTTGTCGTGAACTGGGCCAACACAAGCCAAACTCCGATGTGATGGCTTCGCGTATATCTGTTTTTGCCATACATAAAAGCCTGACAACATGCATACATTAAACAATGTTGGTGTTTTGGTAGACTCAGTACATGTTGCAAACAATGTTAATGTTTTGATAAACTTAGAACACGTTGCAATCGTCGACTCTAACTTTTATAATCGCACACAATGATGCCTTAACAGAGGCCGACATGTTAAATCATCGTAGCACTGTGCTAAATACATACCATATTTGCGTACTTATCTGTCCGTGTAAAGTGGTGTACAGACTGGCGTTTGTTAGATAGATACTGCTGTATATATATGCATATAGCCATATACCAGAATGTTTTTAAATACATAATTGATTTTAGATGCATTTTCAATTTTGTTATCGCCGACAATCGATTATCTTCTCTTGGCTCATATCCAATGATCCAGCAACGTATAAAGGATGCCAAAAATGACGGCAGAACTAATTGCTGGTAAACGACACTGGTTTTAAATTCCTCGATACATATTTAGATTTTTGCGACATCGTCGAAAACATATTCATTTCCGAAATTAGCTGTAGTAATTGAAACTTGAACAACAACATACAATTAACGACAAACTATAAACGACAAAATGAAATTCTAAGTTGTGGTAGCAAACCCGGTAGGCCGGAACGACGATACTTTTAGATGGTGTCAAATGTTTTAGTCTCTTGTTCACGTTCGGAATATCTGCGAATGGGGTGGCATTAATCCGACTTATCCACCAATCATAAACTCCAATCGTTTGGTGACTATTTAGAAATAAACAAATTGTGCTGTGAAAGAAAGTAGAAGTAAATATTCACACGACAATAGATATTTTAAAATCGTACGACGTATTATGGAAACATATAGTTTTACAGTGGAACACTGGATCAGGTGGTGGTGATAGAATTGAGGTTTGCTACGTACAGATGGCGCGAAATTTATTGTCTGTTGTGTGTACTGAAGACGGGACGAGGTCACGACAATCACCAGTCTTTGCCCCTCCATATTGTCATAGTATACACTTTCGATCTCCGTTGTTTCACTGACTCATCTTTTATTTATTTTCTGCTATTCTCTCACTTACTGCTCTCTTTAAGAACCACACTCAATTGTTGGCATCGCTCCTACCTGTTTGCATGGTTTCTGATTGTCAAATGAGGTCTGAAGTCATGTTGCGGTCTTTCTATATTGCTTTCACAGGGGAATGCAAGCAACATGATTTCAATTACCGTTCAAAATGTTCTTGATGTCCATTGCATTTGAGCACCGTATACACATTCTGCGATAGTGGTGATAGTGACACTTTTGCAGACGGTGTAGTTGTTTATTCATCAGTTGGAAGAGATTCAAGCTCCCCGGAAAAAAACAAAATCTACTGCACGTTGCTGATATGCAGTCTTGGAATGCCCCCAATGCAATATGCTTACATTTTATATTCCGGAGTCGACAATATTAAGCTTTAGAGTGCAATACAGCGAGAACACTGACCGTGGAGGGTGTTCGTGAGCATAGTAAGCTCAACCACAACGTAGGTGGAATATTATTCATTTACGCCGGGTAGTAGATATAGTTTGGACGATATATAAAATATTTGAGCATTCCTTTTATTTTTATCTTAGAATAGTGAAGTGTTTATTTTCTTTGCTTGGAGGAATACCGAAAGACTATCACAAATCACAATCACAACACCATCTCAAGCCCAATCTTATCTCACTAAAGCTACCTATTCCAAACTGAAGTATCGCTTAACTGCTTGTTGTCGTGACAAGTTTAAACAATTTTATTTTAAAGCTCAAGAGATAAGCTTAAACACGGGTATATGGTGTGAGATGAAGGTTACATGCAACACATACTCGCCTGTAGTGAATAGAAGTAGCTGCAATTGCGTGCATGTCAGATTTTGACGCCACTGCCTGCATCAAAACTGGCATCGGATAGGAATTGGTCACGATCGAGCACAGTCCAGAGCATTTTGAAAACCACCTGCGTGAAGATGGAAAGTGTGCCACACGCACGGTTTACTTCGTGTGTATTGAATATTGATAGTGCCGGTCTAAGTGCACGACTTGTTTCTGGATGAATTCCTCGATCCTCATATAGAAGATGAAAATTGCGAGTACGTATAAATGAAGTCCGAACTTACCTCAGGCGAGGCATCAGCGGACACTTCTATACGTATGCTGTTGCGTTCTGTCTCGATCATGTCATTCATGCTATGTCTCGTCGACAACAAGTATTCCTGGATGCGGAGCCTTGCATTGTCACCTCGCTTTCTTCGAGAGATTCGTTCCACATAGTGCACAGCCTCGTGATCGTATATATCGAGCATGATACATCTCACATCTATATTATGTTCCGCGAGAAACTGTAGTTCTGGTATTGAACGAGGAAAATTGTCCAGTATAACCATATTTGGTAGAGAACCTGTGAATTCTCTCTCGATTAACTGTGCAGTGACATACAAGTTGCGCTGCAGTGTTAAGTTTTCACGTTGCAACGAGCCAAGTTGTGTACGCTTCATCGTATCGACTACCTCCATCATAAACGGATCCTCAACTTTGACGAGTTGCCTGCATCTATCCCCGAATGACACGCACTTTAGACCATCCTTCAGCACGGCTTTTAGCGTGTTCAGAAATGTACCCTTGCCTACACCCGGCGGACCAACGATAGCCCAGACGGTCATAATCTAAAATGCGATGCACATTTAAGAAGCAGTAGAGTTTCGCCAAATGTTGTTATATCATCATCTCGTTTATATGGAGATCAATTTGTACCCGATTCTAAGCTAGTAACTATATAGAGAGGGTGTACAAAGTGCGGAAAAGTTGGGCGGAAATGTTGGGCGGAAATGTTTGGCATCCTAAGATTCGTCAAAAGTGCGCAGTGTGGTAACGTTACAAGTTAGCGCACAGCACGGGTGCTCTGATAAAAGCGATACAAAACATGTTCTTCAGCTCCACACTCACGCCATTTTTGAATTTGATATTGATTGACAAAGATAAGCCCGATAGATTTTGCAGTATGTTAGTTTACGATACGTTGTCCTTCTCGATAGTGGTCATTAAGTTTTTTGAACAGTTGTCCTTCGCAGCTTATGTCAGCTTGGGTTCAAAAATAAAACAAAACTTCAAGACAAAACCACCCCAAAAAAAAATACATCTCCAATTGTCAAGTGCTGTTGTTGCCTGTATGCATATCCATGCTTAGATATCTTTTATTGATGTGGAGTCAATTATCAGCGATTGATATTCCACCGGTTGCATTGTATAGTTTGTAGAGACTGCGGGCCCCGTGCAGGGTGCAGTAGCCCATATCTGCGTTGCACCACGTGCAATACCATGACACGGGATACTTGTTCGGGGGCCTTCTCGGGCACACTTTTGAGCCACAACGAGTTTATGAGAGCGAGATAGCCCCTAACAGTTCAGTCTATATGAGATGGATATTTTGATAATGTCCAGATCAGATACAGTCGACTTGACCAAAATACAGTATCCCCGTCTTATAAAATGCTGTGACCTTCCGTGATAGTAATAATCCAAATTGTGTACGAATGCTCCAATATCTATTTTTATATCTAGTTCAAATCTGGCTTTCGAGCACGAAAAGCTTAGATGCACTGGCCGTCAAAGCACCGTTATATATCTACATATATGCTACTGAAACATACTTACATGCTACATGTACATTAACTGTAGCTTCGCATATAGCATCACTACAAGCGCAAAACTGGTCTAGCCAATCACAACGCAAGCAAGAAAAAGAGCGTAGAACAACGGACGAACAATATTCGACAGAATACTACACCTTTTTTAAAAATAATATAATAGCTGATACGACTCTACAGTGAAAATGACCTATTCGAAAAATTGAGAGTAATTGTTAATAATTCATATTCTATTATATAGGGTCAAGCCATATCTTTCATGTCCAAACGGTCTAATGATGTGAAAAAGAAGAAAACTCGACATACAGACAAACTTTCATACATGATAATTATAATAAAAAATATAATTATAAATATAACTATATACATATATATATACATAAATAGATAATTATATAATTATATATATATGTGTGCGTGTGTGTGTGTGTATGTGTACACACACTTGTGTGTGTGTATGACTGTGTATAAATAGATGTATATGTATACATACATATACATATACATAAATATAAATATATATAGGTATATGTATATG